CTATCTCCCCTTCCTCTTCCTCCCCCGTTCCCCCCAGTTGAGCACAGAGAATAACTTAGTTCCCATGAGTCTCAGGACTGTTCGGTGCTGATCCCACTTGATGAGACGTAGTGGGCAATGCAGGACGGCTTTCAGAAGCCACGTGGAAGGGCCATGGGTTTCTGGATCGACCACATTTCCGACCAATGCCAGACTGGCTCGGTCTTAGACCCGAACGGGAGAAACGCCTTTGGGTGCGAGAGTTAATTTGACAGGGAATGTCTTCTCCTTGGAGCTACCTGCTGGGAAACGATGGCCCCACAGGACAGGTGTGGGCTGCTTGGAGACGGTGAACCTCACACAGCCGGCCAGGCACTTCCTGCAATGAACACTGAGCCCGTTTGCCTCCAAGGATGAGTCAGACTGGAAAATGAGTAAGGCACCAACACATGATAGTGGAGGAGGGCTGAGCCTCCCACTGCCTACACTCCTGGGCTCGGAAAGGCGGACTGGGGCTGCTGGCTTCTGTAGTCTCCGCAGGAAGCCGTGGGCTCTTGGACTTGGTCGTCTCCCATGGAGATGGTTGAAGTCCAGCTGTCAGGGATACGTAGCAGACATCTGTGCTCTGGGTCAGTCAGGGGAAGCCGGCGATTCCGGGATTCCACGCCATCAGCTTTCAGATGCGGGAACAGCGAGCTTCGTGAGTGTGAACTCCTTTATCACTAACCTAAAAACAAGTTCCTCCAAGTGGGAGCTCCTTAAAGCTCCCGTGTCTTCACGTGAAAGTCAAAGATGGTCACTTGAGCAAGTGCGATTTTCCACAGGCCTATTATGGGACGTGTAAAGGTTGCGAAAAGTGCTGGGTCAGAAGCTCTGCCCCTTCGTTTTTAATTAGTTCCTGGTGTTAGAAAGCTGCTCGAATAAAGACACGGAGACCAGACTGTGGGGCGGAGGTTGCCTGGCAAATGGCCTCTCCTAGTTTGGCCTGCATTTCTCCCTGACGTCTTGCTTTCTGCTTTATTTTAGAATGCTTTGCAGAGCGCTTCTTCCATGATTATGTATCGGATACAGGGCATTGTTACCTTTCCTGTGCTTTCTCTTCTCAGTGTGTGAGGTATGGATTCCGGAGGTCAGGGAGGGCCCATGGGTGCGCGGTGCAAGGAGCAGCTGGTGGCATGCTGAGTGCTGTGCCACCAACATGCCAGGGCCCTGAGCGGACACACGCTGGTCAGATGGGACCTGGGACACACTCTGACCCGGGGGTGGGGAGGGCAGACTCATTTCTCCTGCTTCTCCTTAGTAACAGCCCGCACCCCCCCCCCCCCCCACCACCACTTAAAAAGGGGAGAGAGAAGAGTCTACTGGGATGAGGCCAAAGATAATGTTGAAATAGCCGAGAGGTGTAGGTGACAAGCCCTTGCTTCCCCAACAATGCCGGCTGGCACTGGCTAGCCCACTGACACCGCTTTCTAACACCAGGAACTAATTAAAAACCTGAAAGCCCAACTGGTCTCTGCTTGCAACATGTTGTCCTTGCCCCTGTGGGGAGGCCTGAGCCTGAGAATGTGCCTGGCACACTGCAGGCACCTAGCAGATGCTGGCAGAATGAAGGAATAGCAAAATGGCAAACCAGAGGAGTAACACTACTATGTTATCACTCCACATAGTGTGCCTACTACACAGGGAGAACTCAGCTGGTATTAGGCACTGTGCATAGTCCGACAATGATCTCATTTAAGTCTTACTGAAGCATAGTAACCTCCACCTTGTATAAAAACTGCTCTTTGAAGCCTAAGTGCCCATCAGTAGATGAATGGATTAGAAAACTGTGGTACATCTACACGATGGAATACTATGCTGCTATAAAAAAGAAGGAACTCTTACCATTTGCAACAGGATGGATGGAACTGGAGAGCATTATGCTAAGTAATATATATATAAACACACATATATAAAACTCAGCATAGTAACTGTAATATCAAAACAACAACAAAAAAACCACTGCTGTTTGAAATTCTCTGCTATTGTTAGATAGTCCCTTGTCCTATAAACTGTCATTGTAAACTCCGTTATTTTCAGATAGTCCCTTATTCTGTAAAATAGCTGTTTTAGTTTGAATAATAGAAAAAGATAAAAACTTAACTGTCTGACCTTGCAAGCTAGCCAGCTAATGGAAGGGGCTGATACGTTGACACTGATAATATTCTCATGCCAGGTGTTTGTTAGATATAATATGTACTCAAGGTTACAAGTTATCTGCAAAAGTAACATACACCAAAGCCTGAAAAGATATAAAAAGAGAATGCTTCTTCCTTTGTTTGCTCAGAATTTGGAAGACATTTTTCTCTGTGCAATAATAATAAAGTGTAACTCCATTTCTCTAAGCGGTGCTTGGGTTTTCTCTGGTCTTCTGTAACATTGCCATAAGCATCTGTGGTAGAATATCACTATCCTTATTTTATAGATAAAAAAAATTGAAGCTCAGAGAGGTTAAGTCACTGGCCTGACATCACCCAGCTAGAAGGTTACCAAGCTGTGGTATGAACTGATGTTTGTGACTCAAACAAAGCCCATGTTCCTAGCCCTCCCCGTGCGGTCACTGGTCTCCAAGCCGGCTGCCACTTCCCCGCTCAGCGGTTACAGCTGCTCCTCCGCCTCCTAGAATCTGAATGGGCTTTGCTGGCTCCCAGATAGCAGGATGCAGCAGGAAGTACACACTGGCCTTTTAAGATTACATTGTAGGGAGTCTGGCAGCTTCCGCCTGGGCCTCTGGGAACACTTGCTCTGAGGGCCACCAGCTACAGGTAAGACGTCTGAACACCTGAGATTGCAACGCTGGGAGCTGGCTGTGGGGAGGCTGCCTGGGGATCAACAGCAGCCATCCTGGCCCAGGCTCAACATAACGAGGGGAGGAGTCCCCCCGACATTGGAGCTGCAGGAGACGCCACACGGGGAGGAGCTCAGGCTCAGACAGATGTCCCCTGTCCAGCTGCCCCAGCACCTGCAGCCACCTGAGCCACCCCCGCAGAGGCCTCTGGTATTGTCAGGCAGAGCAGAACTGCCGTGTTCTGCCCAGATTCCTGACTCACGAAATTGTAAACATAATAAAACGGATGTTGTAGCCGGCTAGCGTGGCTCATTGGCTGAGCATCAACCTATGTATGAATCAGGAGATCATGGTTCGATTCCTGGCCAGGACACATTCCGAGGGCAGAGGGGGGCGGGGCGGGGGTGGGGAGGCAGGCTCGATCCCCAGTAGGGGGTGTGCCAGGGGCAGCTGGTCAATGATCCTCTCTAATCATTGAGGTTTCTATCTCTCTCTCCCTCTCTCTTGCTCTCTGAAATCCATATAAATATCTATTTTTTGAAAGGATGTTGTTTTCTGCCATCAACTTTTGGGGTGGTGTGTAAGCACCCACAGGTCACTGGAGCACCATGCAGTAAAGAAGAAGGCTGGTGGGACCCTCATCCAAGCAGCGGGAGGGGGCGCCTCAGTCTCAGAGCTGGGTGGGGTGAACTGTGTGCGGCCACAGGAGGCCAGTCCTGAGACTCGCTCCAGCCCTGGCTGCAGGGAGTGGCTGACGCCTCAACCCATCCTGGTCACAGGGCACAGCAAACACTAAGGTGTCCCTTCCCACAGGCCACGGGCCACAGGGCTGGAGCAGGGCCTTTTAGGTGGCACAGTTACTACCTCCCTTGGGTATAAATGCAAACTCACTAACCTCCCGTCTCTCCAATGTTGAGACTCAGCTGTCTCCGACCGTGGCTCCCTCTGCCCCTCCTCGCTTCTTGGAAAATTCCTGCGTTGGCCTTTCCAGAGTCACACTTACTCTGGCAATTGGCCTTGAGTATTTTCTACCTTCCATGGACCACCCAGGAAAGTAGGCGGCCCAGGTGTGTGCGTGT